ATAAGAATGTTTTGAACTTTCTTAAGGCAGCGGGAGCTCTAAAGTTTAGTTTAGTTTACTTTATTGTCATTGGACCTTGTACAACGAAATCAAACACCCATCTTCAGTGGTGCGCATCATGACCATGACAATAAATACAAACACATTCTTCACCCTTCACACATTGAACCGAAAACCCCCGACAACGCACCAACACTGCACTATACAGCAGAATTCAAAAGAGCTCCTGCCCTGGGAGAGAAGCTGTTTTTCAGCCTATTTGTCCTTGTTTTTATTATTCTGTACCGTCTGCCAGATGGTAATAGTTCAAAAAAAGGGTTCCCAGGATGAGATGGATCTTTGAGGATGTTTTGAACTTTCTTAAGGCAGCAGGAGCTATAAGGCTCTTCCAAAAAGGGGAAAGGGCAACCCATGATCCTCTGAGGGGCAATGACCTTAACCCTCTAGAGCATTGTCCTATCTGCCACAATGCAATTGGCAAACCATACAGAGGTGCAGTAAGTTAAAATACTCTCTCTGGTGCAGTGGTAGAAGGACACCAGAAGTTTTCCATTCAGTTGTTGTTTCCTGAGAAGCCTCAGGTAGTCTAATCTCTGCTGGGCCCCTTTGACCAGGGTTGCAATGGGAGCCCCCCAGGTCAGGTCCTCTTTTAGGGTAACCCCCAGAAACTTAAAACTGCCCACTTGCTCCCCTCGGTCTCCATCGATAAGCAAAAGGGCTGGAGGCCTCATCTGTTCCTTCTATAACCCCTCACTCTTGCAGAGTCCTATCGATTGGCCTAATAGCAATCACTCCTCTTGCAGCTAGATCTCAAGCAACACATTGCGCAGAAGGTGCTGGCCTTGAAAACCCGGCGTTACCAGCCCGGCAGGGCACCCCACAGCTGGGCGCACGAGATTGACAGCTGTGCCATCTGCCTAGACCAGTTTCAGAAGAATCAGGTAAGACTCGGGATAAAAATCGCGGCTGAGGCCAATTCCTCCAATGCACATCCGCCTTTTGCTTCAAAATGCACTTAATTCATTGTCACCCTGGTTTTCCCCCCCCGCCGCCTCTCTGGGTGCATCGTAATTCATATTCTCCAATGGGACACATCCATAGCCCAGAGTCATCAACCACGTTCTCCAGTTAGTTTTTTGCGAAGCAGAAACTTCAGCCACCTAGTTATTATCTTTGAGAACATGTATGGAATGCAGTTTTGATTTCCAAGCTGCCGTACTGCTCTTTCCCCCCCTTCCTTTCTGTTAGCAACTCTAAAACGACCATAGAAATATTTTATGAAGTTGACATTAGGTGGACCCTCCTGCAACTCCTGAGTAGATCTTGACTTGCCCCAACAGTGTCTCCGGATCCTACCCTGCCTGCACGAATTTCACCGGGACTGTGTAGACCCCTGGCTCCTCTTGCAACAGACTTGCCCGCTCTGTAAACACAACGTTCTCGGTAAGAGCCCGCCTTGCTTTCCAAAATTCAGAGGCAGAAGCGGAGTAATACGTGGGTACCTTAATTTGGTCAGATGTGAGAAATGTTTGCTTTCATGTCCGTTTGCTTGTTTTAAACCTGGGCTAACTTGAAAGTGGCGTGGACTTCAACTCCCAGAATTCCCCTCACCATCCAGCAGGCGCTCAGGATTCTGGGAATTGAAGCCCGCAACCACCTTTCGAACTGCTCGGCCTGGGAAACTGCACTGGCCTGCAAGACCCCAGGTGAGAGCGAGTGAACAAGCAAGCAAGCGCGATTGCCGAGTTGTTTTGCGGTTCCCTCAACATCTGGCTCCGTGGCTGAGACGCTGGAGCTTGTCGATCAGAAAAGGTCGGCGGTTCGAATCCCTAGCACCGCATCAACCGGAGTGAGCTCCCGTTCTTTGTCCCAGCTTCTGCCAATCTGTAAATTTTCATTTTTAATCGTATTATATTCCAGTTTCATTTGAAATCGTATTTTATTCAATTGCATTTGAAATTGTTTTTAATCAGATTTTGGTAATAATTTGTGTCTGGAACTCTGCACTTTGACGTGGCCCCAGGGCTAATCAATAAAGTAAACTGAACTTAATGTGTAAGAGAAGGAATGGCAGAAGCCGGAGACAGAGTTAAAAGAGGAATCAGCCTAGAATCCCTGGGTAATCACCAAGGAACCAGCTCCAACTTCCCTTGAATCCCATTGACCTTGGTCTAACTCTAAGTGCTTAGCCACTCTGGATGCGGTGGCTCAGCGGCTAAGACGCTGAGCTTGTTGATCCGAAAGGTTGGCAGTTCGGCGGTTCGAATCCCCAGCGCTGCGTAACGGAGTGAGCTCCCGTTGCTTGTCCCAGCAGCTTCTGCCAACCTAGCAGTTCGAAAGCCTGTAAAAAATGCAAGTAGACAAATAGAGACCCCTTTGGTGGGAAGGGAACAGCGTTCCGTGCGCCTTCGAAGGCGTTTAGTCCTGCCGGCCACATGACCACGGAGACGTCTTCGGACAGCGTTGGCTCTTCGGCTTCGCAACGGAGATGAGCACCGTCCCCTAGAGCCGGAAATGATTAGCACCTCTAGGGGAACCTTTACTTTACCATCAAGGGTACAGCTGTGGAGTTGCCTGGAGTTGGGAGTGGCAGGCTTCGCTGCCAGATGTGCGGCTGCTGTCTCAGATAGCACTCTGCATGCTTCAAGGAAACCTTCGGGCTGCCCCGGAGTTCTTGGGTTTTGAAGCTCTTTTCTATCAGCCTTGCATCCTGAAATGTTTGTTGATTTAGGTGGCCATCCAAGGGCTAAAATCGGCAATAAGAGGCACTGGGATTTGTAGGGCAACGCAGATGTTAATGGCCAGTGACCAGACAGATCCAATACTTTTCTGGCCAACCCTGGAAGGATTTCCTGCCCTTCTAACACACACAAAAATGCTTTTCTTCTTCTTTTTTTGTCTTCCTTTCAGGAAACTGTTGCTGAGACAGGTAGCAAGACCCTCTCCTTCCTGCCCTCCAAAGGAAGGGAGCATCTTTCCAAGAAGCCATCCTATAGAGAGCAACGTTCCTCACGTTTGGCAGCTTTTAAGATATACGGACTTCCAATTCCCAGAATCCTGGGAGTTGAAGGGCAACGCATCTTAAAAGCCGCCAAGCTCGAGAAACGTTGCCTTTGAGTTTTGGATCATTCCTGGGGTTGATTTGAGCGGAGAAGCAGCTGCGCTGTCTATGCTCTGGGCCCCACCAGGACAGGAACCACAGGAGCAGGTGTAAATAATGCATTTCTTCGTCATTCCTTCTGGCTTCGTTTGTGCATCCTCTCCTGCCACCCACCCCCCCCGGACTGAAATCCGCTCCCTTTTTGGTGTGTGCTCGCCGGACGTTTTGTGCAGCTTGGATCTGACCTGGGGGGGAGGGGGGGACCAGACCTTCTGGGAACCCACCTTGGGGTTTTCATTTCGTGAAGGAACGAAGACGAGGGCTGACAACACATCAGGCTTCCGACGAAACCCCCCCCCCCTTTTGTTATTGGGGGCAGGGGGGAAGCATTTGCAAAGGAAAAACGAGATTTTAGCCACTGGGACGGGATGGAGGTTTGAAATTCTTCCTTATTTATACTAACTTATTTGAGCAAGGGCTCCGGAGGTCCTGGGATGGCATCTCAGAAAGGGCTGAGATATTGCAGACTCCGCTGGGAGGTTTATAAGCCCCTTGCCCTAATTAAAAATAATTCTAGCAAACTGAAGTAAGTGCTACTGGTCCTTTTTTCTTGTCCTATTCTTTCCTTGTACGGACATTTCCTCCTCTTGCAGAATTACAGTTGGAAGGGACCTTGGAGGTTGTCTAGTCCAACCCGCTGCCCTATATACCAGTGGTGGCTAACTTTTGGGGGCTCTTGTGCCAAAAATTGTGCGCCGGCGTGCTCACATGCCAGTACCCAGAAGGCAATGCGTGCCCCCCCCACACCTCCTGCATACGCGCACACAATTCCCCCCGCTGCCCCCACCACGCCCCCTTACCTGCACTGCTCCTCACAGCTGATTTTGGGCCGGTTTGAGGCCCTTTTCAGCCTCCCAGAAGCTTGAAAAAAGCCTCTGCAGGCCAAATAATAGGCCCATTTCATCACTTCCAGTATTACAGGAAGGAAACGTTCTGGTGTTGCTTACAGAAACTGCCTCTCCGTTGACCCTTATTACATTCTTGGCAGGACTAGACTTCCTGTCACAGGAACTTCTCTGGAGGTTTTTTTCCCCTCCTTTGCTGGCACTTTGCTTGTGTGGAGTGACCATTCAAAGTTACAATGGCACTGAAAAAAGTGACTTATGACCATTTTTCACACTTACGACTGTTGCAGCATCCCCTCAGTCATAAGAGGCCAGGCGAGGAGATGCCTGCCTCTATGTGAGTGATATTGAGTTGGCCACACCCAGCCGGTCACATGACCACCAGCCACACCCACCAACTAAGCCACGCCCCACAGAACCGGTTGTTAAAAAATTTGAATCCCACCCCTCTTTCCCCTCCTACCAACCTCTCGCCCTGCACTTCTGAGACTGCACTTCAGCCAGTTTGAAGTGGTAGTTCCAGACAGTGAAGGCTAATCTTTTGGGCACAGAGTGCCCAAGGCGCGCGCGTGCACCCCCAAAATGCAACGTGTGTCCCCACGCATTCCTGCGCATGTGCTGCACCCGTCCCATGCATGCATGCACATCCCCTGCACGTGCATGCCATCCTCTGCATGCCCCGCCCCATGCATGGCAGAGACCTGAAAATCAGCTGGCTGGCGGGAGGCGCATGCTCTGCATGCCATAGGTTCGCCATCGTGGGTCCCGGGGGTCATTTGGCCTCGCCCACGCACCCCTGCCCTGCCCTAATCTGTCCTTATTCTTGTGTGTTGCTGCGCCTCAGCTATCCTACTCACCGGCGCTGCCGTAGAAGTTAAAAGTATTAAGAGCTGAAAATAGGCCGTTTTCAACTCGCGCGCTCAATCCAACCAGTTGTTACACCGGTTGAATCCCACCACTGTCCGAGACACCCCGCGCCCACCCCCAGTGACGCTCCTGGAGCCCTCCTTGGGCGCGCTTCTCTTTTTTATTTCTGGTGGTTGCGGGTACAGTGGCCTGGCGGGGGCTGGCGGCCCTTCCCTTTGGCCTGGGCGTAAGGGCTGCTTACGGTCTCCTTGTAGAAAAGGTTGAACGGAGCGGGGCCCAAGGGGGCCTTGGGCAGCTGGTTGCTGGAACTCCACTGCGGGGCAGGAGTGTAGGACACGGGGTGGTTGGGAGGTCTGTGTCGCGAGGCGCTTGCCGCGGGGCCGCTGTTTGTCGGAGACCTGGAAATCTGTCCCTGAACGCCAGACGCTCCGGGGTACCTGCAAAAAGGAACCATCGGAGAAGCCAGCGCTTCGGAGAAGCCCGTCACCCAAACGGCTTCCGGAGGGCCTCCAGGGCTCAGTGGGGGCTGTTTTCGCCCTCCTAGTGGCCAGGGGGGGAGCCTCCAGACCCTTGGAAGGGCAAAAACGGCCTCCCCCCGGGCTGTGGAGGCCCACCAGAAGCCAGAAACAGGACATTCCGGTAGGCCATGCCTACCATGGCCACACCCACCTAGCAACCGGGCCGCAAACCGGTTGCTGGAATTTTTTGAATCCCACCCCTGAATGGATGGATCCCTTTGGGGCCAGCCCACTCACCCCACGGGAGGCGGCATCGCGCCGTCTTGAGGCCCCGGTTTTTCGGCCGACCGGATCCACAGCTGGGTTGGAAGGACAAACTACGGAGAGAGGAATTCCCTATTAGGCGTCAGTATCCTAAGAGACGGAAGGAAGGGCGTTTCTGTTGACGCTATCCACGGAGTGGCGACGGATGCTTCTGGGTGTTGTGGTTAGCCGGCAGCAGATATGGACGGCTGAGGAAAGCGAGGACCATTAGGGAGTGGAGTGCTGCCTTCCGAGATTGGGGGGGCTAGCAGCAGCAATGAGGAGGTGCCAAGTGCACCTGTACAAAGGATTACTCGGAGGAAAGAATTACAGCAGCACAGACGACTCGGGAGTAAGGCTGCAAGGTAATGGCCCCTCCCTTAAGAGATAAAAGCCAGCTATGAATCGGACGACGTTCTTTGCAGGAAGTAAAGATGTTTTGAAACTCAGCCTCGTGGACATTCCAGTATCCTGAGTTTATATTTGAAGATTCTTATTTTGCAAATTATTTCTTGTCTGTTATGTTTTGGCAAGTCTCACACAGTTTGGCAAGGCTTGTGCTTATCACAGCGAATTATTTTGTAAAAGCATTACAGAGTTTCTGTTTCTTTTGCGTTGTGTTTGATTTGTTGAAAAAGGGGTGTGGGTCAGAACACTGGGTGACGATGGAGAACGGTGTTGGGACCCTATTGGAGCCTGGTTCGGAGGAGGAGGAATTGGAGTTGAAACTCTGGGCCGTCCGACAGAGATGGCACGTCTCCCTTGGCATGTTTGGAGGAGCTGGTGTGTGTGTGTGTGTGTGTGTGTGTGTGTGTGTGTGTGTGTGTGTGAGGACGAGGCTGTCCCAAGTGTTGTGGTTCGTTGGCAGCGGAATCGGACAGTCGGGAAGAACAGGGACCAGTCCAGGAATCTGGGGAGGACTCAGATGAGAGTCCTGCATCCGATGCAGCGTTGGGGCCAGGACCATCTGGGAGTGGCCACAGGGACCTATGCGAGGGGAGGTCTTCAATTACGACGGAGGAGGATTCAGGCATGTGGCGTAGGGGGGGTTGGATTTGTAGTTTTTAGTGACTGCAAGGAAGCCTGGGATTTTCAGACTCGGGGTTCCTCCAGTTGTGCCACTTTACTCCTCAAATAAAAGAGAACCTTTGAGCGACGTCTGTCTCGGAGTTATTGGTTGGAGTGGAGGGTCGCTGGAACGGTGACAAGCACATCCATTGCCAGCCACGAACACATTTTGCAAGAAACCAGAACTAAACGCCGGTTTTCGGCACCAAAAAGGCGTCATAAACCGTGGCCACGGGGACACTGCAGCTTCCTAACAGGACGATTAACCCGTGGAACAGCTCGCCACCAGAAGTTGCGGGAGCTCCACCGCTAGAGGTTTTTAAGAAAGAGACTGGACTTCTCTGGAATTGGGAGATAATTGGGACCAGTGGTCTTTTTCTGCTCTCCAAGTGGCCTGGTGCCCTTGGACTGCCCCCTCCCTGGTGACCTGGGCGCGGCCACCTACCTTCTGTGTCTCCTGCTGGGCCGGCTCTTTGATTCTGGCTATAGCGTTTCGGAGACGGGCGTTCTCTTCCTCCAGGATGCTGATGCGGATGTTGTTGGCCTGCAGCTGTTTCCCCATGTCTTCCATGACGTTCCCGGAGACTGCAAAAAAAAAAAGAAAGAAAAAAGGCGAACCACGTGTCAGCATGTCCAGGGAACATCCATCCCTGTCAGGAACCTCAAGACGAGCTAATCTCAAAAGTACTTTTGTTAATTGTTATTTAAAAAACAACATTTTATTCCATTTTTCCAAAACAAAGAGAAATTAAAAAAGCTGTTTTCGATGTACAACCTAATTCCCAGATCACCACTTTGACATGCCAATATGGCGATAATTATCTATTCCTTTTCTACATTCGACTTCCTATCTTGTCCATTTTTCACTGAATGCTCCAACTTTTACATAAGAAGAGGGACAGACAAATCAATCCCGTTCGCTAAGATTACTTTCGTTGGGGTTAGAAGGCGGTATTGCCAGGCTGACTCTTGCCCGCTGCCAGCAGTTCGATCCTGACCGGTTCAGAGGTTGAAACTATGAAACTATGGCTCAGCCTGTGGAGAGGTGGCGAAATTAAAAGAATTGTGCTTTTCGCTAATCGCCCAGATTAAACCTCACGCGGGGAGAGCTTTGGTTGTGGGGTGGGGTCCAGATTCACGGCGCTTAAATCGGCAAGTCGCTTCAGCCCCCCCCTCCTTCCTTCCTTCCTTCCCCCTCCACCGGGACTTACTTTCGAACCGGGTCTCGACGGGGATGTGAAGGTCTGGGAAGAAGACCAAAAGCTTCTCCTTCTCCTTCATCTCGTGGATCAGCTCTCCCAGCTCCGAGATGGTCCTCTGCAGCTCGGAGGCAGACTGCTCCAGGGTCTGCTTCTCCTGCCTCAGTTTCTCGGTGAGCTTCTGGGTGGAGAGAGCGGTGCAGGTCACCTTGCAAGCTTTCTGAATTCTACAGCAGAAGTCCTACGGGGAGACGGAAACTAAGCCTGGCCTCGGAACTAGCGAGCGGCGGGAGGAAAGGGTCGTTGAGAGCGAGAGCATTTAAGACTTGACCGGCTGTTGCAGAAGTTATCCGAGCGGTTCACGGAGTCGGCATGTTGGCCCCCACCCCCACCCCCGACAATCCGGGTCCTCGTTTTACCGACCGCGGAAGGACGGAAGGCTGAGTCGACTTTGAGCCGGTCAGGATTGAACTGCTGGCAGTGAGCAGAGTCAG